CCCCTCGCGGCACGGAGGCCGCCCGGGCCCCGGGACCCGCCCGCCCCGCCCGCCCCCTCGCGGCACGGAGGCCGCCCGGGCCCCGGGACCGCCCCGACCGCGGCCCGCACGGACCTCCCTGAATGGCTTTTACACTTTCGGCTCCCGCGGCCACCGGCCCGGCGGGGACCGGCCAGGCGGCTCCTGGGCTGTTGCACTGGAACAGCTGCCAGCTGACCCACAGCTACTGCCCAGACGCAGAACCACGTCCGTGTTTGTGAATATGCGCTTTACAAAACAAAAAGTGCTCTTACAGTTAACTGTACCCTCTCTCTCGATTCAATATTCCATATTTAATGCAAAAAAAATCAACATCTTGCAGGCAGCAACACTGGCCGCACTGGGGATCAGCCAGGATCCTTTCATAACCTGAGGTTCTCTGTTTGCTATCCCATCAACAGGAAAACCAGTCAGACACCCGGAAAACCATTTTCCAAAGGAGTTCAGCTGCTGGAAACCATAGAATATCAGTTCACAGTCAGTTGTGACTCCTGAAATATCAGCTGCTCTCTTAAGAGGGTTTAGTTCTACAAAACCTGGATCTTGGCATCAGCAGCATCATCATGGCCAGTCTTTGCAAACAAAGATTTGGGAAAGGTCTCTACCCACGTTTGTTACAAGCGTGCTGGTGATACAGGGCTTTGCAAATGTGGGTAAGGCCTTCGCGCCTGCGCAGTGGATTTTTTAGGTGAGACACAGCGTGCGCTGAACTGAGCCCACTCTTTAATCCTGAGGTTCATCTGCCGGGGCCGAGTGAGCTTGGACAGCAGCAGCGAGGTCCTCAGGACGTAGGTTTGTTTAGTGACCTTCTCTTAGATGGATGGCCTTACAGGGCTGAACGAGCTCCATCTGCCCAGGTTTAGAGTTGTCGGATCTTGGCATAAATCAACGGAAAATTGGTGCTAAGAATTCATATTAATCAATGGGACCAACAATATGCATGACATCAGTACTGCACAGAGAACATGCTGTCTCCAAAATGTAGGGATGTACATTTTTAAGTCATACACATTTGTTAAGATACCTCTTCTTGGAATTTATAATTTCATTAAGATTTTCCCAGGGCTGTCACTGATCTGATTTCTCCCTATGGCCTAGAAGGACAGAAAGACTCTGGTTGTGCAGGGCACGTCTGACCTGGTAACATCACCCAGCACCCGTGGCACAGCTGCTCTGAGCCTCACTCACAGAGCAGCTCTGCCAACCTGCCCCCACCCCAACAGCAGCACAGCACAAGGTGTCTGTGCAGCACACAAGACAATCTTATTACTGTTAACTGCCTACGAACCAAGAGCTTCTCAAAAAATCCATCAATCCATTCATGACAATCTCTACCTACTCCAAAGCAAGGACATTTTAGTATTAGTGGCAGACGAAAAAAAGAAAGATCCACACATTTTATGCAAAATGTTAACAAATTAATTTGATATAACATTTTATCCTTTTTTTTCATAATTCTTTTGTTCTGGGCAGCAGTAAGGGTTGAGTGAGTGTGGGACTGACCCTGTGTCCCAGAACCAAACAACTGCTGATCACCAGCTCTTCTGCAGCCCATATGCTCCAAGCTGAGATCTGCACAGATAAGTGTCATGGAACTAATGGGGCTTCAATATTATGTTGCAGTAAAGAGTTTCTATCAGCTCAGTGTACTTCAGGTTGGGTCTAATTAGTCTACATGTGTGGATAATTACTATAAATTACACTAATAGTACACTCTTCCTCTCAGACACAAGTTTTGTGAGAGAAAAATTTAGTACAAACTTTCTCTTCTCCTCCTTTTAAAGTCAACTGACTTCAGCAAATCTGCTCAGGTTATCTCCCTACACCCGTGGCAGAAAATAACCTAGAACAGCAGTAGTAGAATAAACCATGTTGGGATAATTGCTTTATAATTACCAGCTGTGTGGATATTAATCTGGGATAAGAAAAAGAGTTCTTTCCAATGCAAAAGGAGATGGCTGTGCAAAGTGCAGTTCTGGAACAAAACAGAGATAATTTCTTTGTCCATATTGACAAGACTTTGTAAAGGGAAGACTTGGCACAAACTGTGTCCCTGGGAAATTCTGGTGACGTATTATTGAATTTGAGATGCCTGGCAATCTGTCCTGAAAAGATGCTGGTAAAGTAAATACTGTAATGGTCAGTGCTTGCATAAGAATAGGGATTACAATTCAATAGTCAATCTCCCTTGCTATACAATTTCCCAGTATATTGACAGTCCTGATCAAGGGGAGCTGTGTGCCCTGCCACCAGGAGGTGCTCTGAGAACTGCTCTGGCACTATGCCATGAACCAAATGAAATCATGTGAAGACCTTATGCTTTGTCTCTCTCAAGATCTCACCAAATTCCCAGCACTGTCTACGCTCTCAGGCTTCCTCTCCTGTACAGGTTTTCTAATGACTGTTCTGCAGCACACAGCCCAAAACCCACTTCAGGATTCTGCCTTTTGGTGCTGCTGAAGATTAAACACAGAAGTTCCTCTAAAGGTGTTTCACCCTTTTAGAACTTTTCCAGTGAAAACACATACACAGAATCATTCACCAAGAATATAGATTGTTGTTTTCAAACAGGCAGGGTAGCTGCATAAGTCAACAGCAGCTTTCAGAGCAAGCTTGCTGCAAGGGGACTTATGCTTCCTCCTCCCTTGTCCGGAGCTTCACAAGTGTGACCAAAAAGTGTCATGTTTCTTAGAATAAAAACATACAGGGCAAAGTGAGACAGGGGAGCTGAGAGTGACTGCCACACACAGCCTCAGCAGTTAACAGCACCCAAGGCACCCATGTTAGTCACCTTCCCGGTGACTGTACACCTGAGTGGCAGCTAAAACTAACCACAAAAACATTCTGAAGTTGTTTTGTTTCCTTTTCCCACTGTGCTGAAGGCAGTTCAGTCATACGGGCAGAAAATCTAGGAGACTCATACAAAGTCAAGTTTGAGACTTCCTGTTTGGAAACACCCCTCATTAACAGCATCATTAGCATGTGGCAGGTGCAGCAATGGGCTCAGGAACTTGGCCAATCCCTCCATGCTGAGTGGGCAGACGGTCTCCAGCCTCAGGCAGGCGTGCCAGGAGTGGAGACTTGCAGTCTCTGATGACATTTACAAGACAGTTGGTTCGTTAGTAAATAAGATCTCTCGTTAACACCTTACAGGGAATAAAAATCAGAGGGAAGAAAAAAAAAAAAGAATGTTCTTTGTGCCTGACCATGTGTGCAGAGTTACAGCCCCCCAAGGCCCTGCTCCATTGGATCTGCATTAAACCACCTGAGTGTGTATTTGAATAAAGCCAAACACAGAATCCCTGGCAGGTACAATGAAGAGTTATTTAAACATCACAAATTACTGTGAGGTACCTTCATCATATTCTAGACTCTCCTCACAGGGCCTGTGCTCCAGACCCGTCACCACCGTTGTCACTCTTCTTTGGACACTCTCCAGCACCTCAATGTCCTTTCTAAATTGAGGGGCCCAGAACAGGACACAGCTGCTGGCCTCACCATCACTGTGTTTAGGGGTAGAATCACTTCCCTGCTCCTGCTGGCCACACTTCCTGATCCAGGCCAGGATCCATTGGCCTTCTTGGCCACCTGGGCACATTCTGGCTCCTGTTCAGCTTCCTGTCAATCCAAACTCCCACCTCCCTTTCTGCCTGGCTGCTCTCCAGCCACTCTGTCCCAGCCCGTGGGGCTGCAGGGGGTTGTTGTGGCCAAAGGGCAGGACCCAGCACTTGGCCTGGTTGAACCTCATCCCCTTGGAATCAGCCCATCTCTCCAGCCTGTCCAGGTCCCTCTGCAGAGCCCTCCTGCCTTCCAGCTGGTCAGCACTCCCCCCCCAGCTTGGTGTCATCTGCAAATTTGCTGATGGTACACTCAATCCCCTCATCCAGATCATCAGTAAAGATATTAAACAGAACTTGGCCCAACATTGATCCCTGGGGACACCACTAGTGACTGGATTCCAACTGGATGCAGCTCCGTTCCCCACCACTCTCTGTGCCCCACCATCCAGCCAGTTCCTGACCCAGCACAGAGTGCCCCTGTCCAAGCTGTGGGCTGCAGCTTTTCCAGGAGTATGCTGTGGGAGATGGTGTCAAAGGCCTTGCTGAAGTCCAGATAGACACACCCACAGCCTTCCCCTCATCCACCAGGCGGGTCACCTGGTCATAGAAGGAGATCAGGTTGGTCAGGCAGGACCTGCCCTTCCTAAACCCGTGCTGGGATTTTAACAGGTTCCAGCTACTTATCCACAGAAACTGCTGGTCATCCTTGCCAGCAACTATTCTGAGCTCTCCCTAGCACACTCCTAAATCCAAAGCCAAACCAAAACCATCTGAGGAAAGCACACAAACAGATGGACAGCTCAAGGAAGTCTTGCTGTGTGTTTTTCACAGCACAGCTCATTGGCTAGATTATAATTGGGGTTTCTAAGAGATAAACAGCCTTTGCCTGTGGGCAATTAACCCTCAGGATGGTGGGAAGATGGTTATGGAAAAAAAACCCAAACAGTAAGTAAACAAAAATGAAAACTGACCCTGAAAAAAAAAAAAAAGAAAAAAATACACTACAGTGCCTTTGCCTGCCTCAGACAACAGCTTGAGCAGGGAACCAACATTGTAATACCAAGAGGAAATGGCTTTCCACCTTACTCAGAGTAGTTAAACAGTCTTGAGTGATGATAACTACAACACAAGTGTGCTGAGGGTCCATCTGCCAACCCAGAGGCTCCATGTGCCCTGCTCTGCAGAGAGAGGAGAGCAGGTCCTGCCCCGAACACAAGGGCTGTCAGCAACCACAACCCAGCAATGTTTCACATATGCTCTCCCTTTCCTCAGAGGGGTCCAAACCAAGCAGCCCCCTGCCTAACCCTGTACTGTCACAGCTTGGGGACAGACAGGATAGCAACTCCCTCCAGGGCTGAGGTGCAAGCTCTCCGAGGACCTAGTGATAAGGTACTTGGAGATGCTATTACCACATTCCTAAAGACGGTTCACCATCAGGCCCCAGCCCCATACCAGCCAGACCGCAGGAACACCACCAGAGCAAAAGGTGACCTGGGACTGCTTCACTTGGCACTGGTGCCAAGAGCAGCATCCACCAAGCGATGGCCTGAAGTACACGAACAAATCCTCAACCACAGCTTGGGGTCTGGTAAAGCCAGCTGCAGCATGACTTGTCCATGGCCTTGTCACCTAATTTAATATGAAATGGAGTTGTGATTCATGTGCCGCATCAAGTGTCAGAAACAGAGTTTAGCTATGAAGGAGCCAGCTGTCTTTTCCTCAGAGCTGTCAGTGGCAGAAATCCCCAAAGCAGACCAGTATTTCAGCTTTAGCCCTCGCTGGGGTCGGGAGGAATGATGGAAGATGCTGCTGCCACATGATGTCATAGTCACTGTATCAGAGAGCACTGCAGGCAGTATCTGTCACAACCAACACAAGCCATTCCACAAGGGAGCTCCGGTGAGTCCCTGTCAGTCCGGGACAATTGCTGGTCCCAGACGCTTCTCCCACAGCACCAGTGCAATGGAGCTTGGTGGGCCTCACATGTTCCCCCTGCTTGACTCCACCTGCACAGGGCCCTGTGCCTCTTGGGAAGCAAACACATCACTAACTAACTGGTTAAGAGGTAGCTGAAGCTACAGAGCTGACTTACACTTTTCCCACCTGTGGTTCAGGCAGTGCATCCCCAGTGCCTGCCAGCCTGGTGCAATGGGCTCAGGCAAGGAACACTGGACAAGCTGTTCCCTCAAATGGGACGGGGACATGCGGGACCAGGCACCAGCTTGGCCCACGAGTACTCACTGACACAGGAGACAGAAGGGACTGACATGGTGCAGTGTAACATCTCCCTTAAGAGGCTGTCTGTGGCCCTTTTAATTCTTTTTAAAAACCAAATTGCTGCCAAAGACATCACCTTCTTGACTTCAAACTTCTGAAATCTTGAGAAAAGGTATTTTTGAGTGCAAAACCAGTAAGGCTTGGTGGCCCAATTCAGTAATGGTTTCCCCAAGCTACAGACTAGTCAAGCAGAAAATCATTGGTGTTGACTGAATAAACAGGGCAACATTGTGGGTGATGCAAGTCCAAGGGAATGGATACAACAATCTGACTGGAAAAATAAAAAAGAACTGAATTATACACAAGGGCTCATAGAAGGTGGAAACGGACGATGCAGCAAAAGATATGGCCAAAATAACATCCATGGATGTTTATTTTAGCAGCTCCTGATTTTTAATCTGAGGGGAGTGCCAATCAGGCCAGGAGTTACAATAATAATGACAGGAAATGAGGTAAACCTAACCAAAAATTAAGTAAAGGAGTCAGTAGGAGAGGGTGGATTAGGAAACAAGTTTATACAAGCTTTTATCAGAAAGTGACTATATAAAATCATGGGTTTTGTTTGGTTTTGTTTTTTTTTAACTCATCCTGTTTTCACTAGTGTGTCTGAATCATATCTCATTACCTGAGACACAAAATTTTTGTTAACACTTCCCAGAGAGTAGAGTGGGTTTGTTTTTTTTTTTTTTTTAATGCTTCAAGCTGCTATCTGATAAATAAAGATTATTACTGCATGTTACATATTCATTTGTAAAGAACAGAGTTTAATTTTGTGGTTGCAAGTTAACTTTGACCTGCAAAGCACTGAAGCAAACTGGGTCTAGAGTCTGGGAGGACAAATGCCTCTGAATGATCCCTCTGCACGATTCGTCTACACAGATCCTTTGCAAGAGCAAGGATTCCCCTTTTTCAGGGGATGTTTCTCTGTTGAGGTTTAATATGCATGCCCCCTCCAAGTGTTTAGTCTAAAGGGCTCCAGTACATGAGCAGAGCAACTGCACGTGTACATTTACTTCACTTCTTTTATTTTTAGCTGTAGTATTTTCTGCAGGAACGACACAGAGCATGACCATAACCAAACTTCATCCTGAAAGCAGCTGATCCAATCAACAGTTCATACAATATTTAGTATTTAAAAACAACAGATTCATGTTTCCTGCAAACATACTGCTTTGTCATTCCTGTAGAACATTTCCTGACACATTGTTTCCTTATTTAAAGCCTTTCTAATATAACACACACAGTACATCAGCTGATACTTGTCACAGCTATGCAACAGAGCTGCTTCAGTCTCCTGCCCTGTTCAAAGACAGCTTGTGTTTGCCCCAAGTGCTGCAGGTGTTCCTGCATTAGCACCACCTAAATCTCTGATATTGCTCCAAGTGGCAAACTCAGTTTGTCAAGGACAAGCACAGTGTGGGCAAGGGCAGTCTGTACAGCCCACGGACACACGTTCCCTGGGGCTGCCGGCACATGGCACGGCTGCCTTGGGAAACCTGGAAGAGGAGAACACTGAGCAGTGAGACATCAGAGAGGAAGGTGTGCTCAAGGGATGGTGAACACCCAGCAGGTCAAGCAACAGGGCACCTGTTCAGAAATCCACAGGGAACACTGAATCAGGTAAATACTGAAGTCACTACACTGCTTTTGGTATTCTTGCAAAAGCCAAGAATCCTAATCGAGATCTCCATTTAGAGACAGCCCTCAGTGCAGCATCTCCTCAACGCGTGGTGGAAAGCTGCTCAGGCTCCCCTGACCTGGCCTAGAGAGCACAGAACATGGTATTCTGTGCTCACTACTCCTCTCTCCAGCTCTCAAGAGGTGATGCAGCAGCCTGATGTTATATGTGCCAAGATGCAAAGCAGACAGATCTATCAACCTGGGAGGTACAACACCTTTAACCCCCGTTTTCCTACTGCCCTGTAGCGCCATGGTCCGTATCACTGCAACCTGGCATTTCTAACAGGGCTGTTTCTGAGAGCCACCTGTGTGCCACTTTTGTTATGAAGACTGATGAATGCAGTGAGACAAAGAATACACGTCCAGTACAGAAGATATTATTCTCCTTTGGGAAGAACTGTGAGTTGATTAAGTCAATGGATTAGACATATGTGTTTCAAACACAGCAGGAACGCTATGCAATCTCTCAACCATGTCTTCTGCAGATGGTAACAGGCAAACCTTCAGCAATGGCAAACAGCACAAAAACAGTCTGAATCCTGGATTTCTTTTTTCTCCAGAAAAGAGCCACAATGGATGGGAAAGCTAACTGTAACAATTCAAAGAGAAATAGCTTCTATTTTGCGTTGCAGATCAGAGCATCAGAAACCTTACTGCCTCTCTTCAATATTTAATAAATTGAGGGAGAGATACTGTTTACTGTTAACTCAAGACAAGGAAAGGGCAATGCCAAGCTACACAGCTCAATGAAACCAAAGAAAGATACTTAATCATTTCTGAAGGTCACCAGCTCCACAGGAAGCAGTATGCTTACTCTTTTTCTACCTGAAGAAGAATATGGTTCTGCAGTTTGTTTACTACTTTGTGAAAATACATTTTGCACAGCTAAAACAGCAAAATAAGAGGTCACACTAAAAAAAGCTACCAATGCAAGTACCTTTCTCTTAACACTGGCCTACATCTGCACCCACCTTCTTTCATTGTTCACTGTTTCATAAAAACCAAATCCCAAAACAACAAAACCAGAAAATCCCAAAAACCGGCACAATATTTGATCTTGTTTATGGATTGCAACACTCACTCAGGCAGGAGCCTTTTTCATACTTTCCAGCTTATGAAGCAAAGAAAAGCTATATAAAAAACTAACCACTGAAAGTCAGCAGCAGTGCCCAGAGGAAAAACACAGCGCTCCCAAGGCTGATGCACAAAACGAGGTCAAATTCCATTAGAGATTCAAATAAAACAGCCAAACATCCAGTGATGCTCACAACCTCCTCACCTTTCCGGGCTCGCAGAAGTCCCTTTCGCAGCACACGCAGGTACAGCAGCACCACATAAACATCCCCGCGCGGCCATGGGCAGCCCCGGCGCTGGGCAGTGCCCTCGGCCGGGCCGCTGGCCGAGCATGGCTGAGCCGGGCCGGCCCCGCTCCGCTCCCCGCCGGCAGCGGCAGCGCCGCTCCAGCCGCGCTGCACGGCCGGGACGCGGCATTTAAAGCTACAGAGCTTCCCAGGCGCTGTGCAACGCTTGGCACTATTTTTAAAACCACACCTTCGAGCCAGAAAAATGGTCCAGGATAACATAACCAAGTCGGGAGCAGATCAATAGAGTCAAAGTGACACAGTTGTTCCTCAGCGACACAACACAACAGACCTGGGGGCAAGGGTCAAGCAAGAATTGATAATCGATTCCAAGATGCGCATCAGGACATAAATCCACCTATAAACTATATGCTCTAATTGCAGCACTGCTGAAACACTGGTGTTTAATAATCCCTAAACACATTTTTCAGAATATTAACATGATCTCCTGGAAGGCTGAAGCTCTAATTAAAAAGTCATTGTCACAGGACTCCAGGACACAACAGAACCAGCACGGCACTGTAACCAGAGCTGACAATGCGGCAAGAATAAACCTCAGCACCACTCATCCCCTACCCCCAAATTCCTTGTCAAAGATAAGGTGTTTTACTATCATATTTAGAAGATATAAAGCAAAGGCTCATCACTCTGCTTGACAGCTCTGACCCACAGCACCTTAAGCCATCCAGCTCCACTACTTTGGACCCATTTGTAAAAGGCACCCTCAGCTCATGGCTCCTTCTCCCCTTGCTCTTCTCTGTGTCACTGATACTCCCTGTTTGTAGCAAACATTATTACTCACCCGGGACAGAGACAAGATGATCCAAAGCCAAGCCATTAATTCAGAGTATGTAAGGTGCTCCAAAGGCTGACATACCAGGAACTGCCAAACCCGACAGGAGTGGAGTGGGCTTTTAGGACTTCCTCACTGCATGAGCCCTGCAGCATGTTTGCAGCCAGCACTGATATAAGGACTGAACTTTCCATTTTTAATTTATGTCTGTCCCTTTGAGCCAATGTCTCTTCGAAGCTCTGACAGACATCACAGTGCTTGGGTTTGGTACATTTGCATTTTTGTTTTTAAATCATTCTCTTTACTTGCAGTAATGCACAGGTAATGTGAAGAAATTCTGCACTGACACATTAATTCACAAAATATAAATTTCAGCAAGGTAACACAGGAGAAACTCCTGACTGACTCAAACCATGGGTAATGTGGAAGAAAATACTACTGTGTACAAAATTCAGTTTTCATTGGGAAAAAAGGAAAATAAGAGGAATTAAAACCTAAAAATGTATTCTGTAGGAATCAAATTTAGAAGACAGACAACAAAAAAAGCCATTGTCTTAAATGATACTGGTATGTCAGGTGGCATTTATGGAAAAAATGATGAAAGGACAAGTGCATTGTACAGGCCATTTAGAACAGGAACTGAGAAGAAAAACAGTCCACAGAGCAGGAACAGTAACATTTGATTCATGCAGGAGAGATGCCATGTTGGTGTAGAGATGTTAAAAGATACGGCCCAAAAGCGTTTCTGTGGACGTTTCTGTGATGTCAGAGAACAGGACATGAAGGACAATGGATGAGACAAAAGGGAAGAGGCAGGTGGATATCAGAGCTGTCTGTGGTGCAATGGGTGACCCGCAGACCCATCCCACCATCGCGCCGTGTCCCCAGCACTGCCAGGGCCCTGCGGCGGGGAGGCGGCTGAGGGAGCGGTGCCACTCCCCACCCCACTTTGTAACGCTCTGCCACAACACCAGCTGCCTCAAAGCTGCTCCTGTCTGCGGGTCTGCGCCTCGGGAAGAGCTCAGGCAGCACCACTGCAGTAACCGAGGCCAAGACATGCGCAGAGCACAAGTGAAAATGAAACTACCACAACTGACCATAATGCCATAGATTCCAAACTGCAACACAGTGCCATGAAAATGACTGCAAAACCCAAAAACTACAGGAAATCTAATTCAACTGACACTTGCATTACTATTTCTCTATGCGTATTCTCAGGGTTAAAAGCTAAGAGTGTTTCTAAAAATCGATCCACTTATAGAAGTATTAGGTATTGAGATTCTCTGCCTAGAAGCATGCTAACAATCAGCACACAGAAACACTGGTATTAGTTGCTGACCTGTACCAAACGAGGATGCCAGCCCCCATCTGCCACATCTCTGCGCTCACCCACGTGTCCAGGGCACGCAGCACAGTGCCAGCACAGTGCCAGCACAGTGCACTGACCGCACTGCAGGCGCTGCAGAGAGCGCCCGGTTCCGTCCGCTGCGCTCCAGAGCCACGGGGGGCACGAACCAGGCCAAGAGCCATCTACCCTGTTGCAAGAGTCTAGTGAGAAATCTCCACTAAAAACAGAAACTGAATAATTTCTGTCCTCGTGCAAGTTTAGGGCACACACTGGATTTGGAATCGCAATCTAACACAATATCAAGAAATATTAAAAAAAAGTCACTTTTTCAAGGAACTATTTCACATTCATATGGCAGATTTCCCTCTCAGAAAGCAGTGTCAATACTGAGAAACACCCAGATGCCCAAAACCAAAAGGTCATCTGTTAATGACAGCAGATCCAATTTAACAGAGGTGAAAGGGAAGGGGGGTAAAATTGCTTGTGTAGAAAGAACATCACTAGCCTTATTTAGGAAGCAGTTTATGTTGGGTACAACCCAGTCTGATTCACAGGAATTTTACTATTGTTCAAATAGGTCATTTCACCATATAAAGGAACAAACAAATCCACAAAAATTCATGAAAATATGCTCATTAGTCTACTTAATATATTCAGAGAGTCTTCTAAAGCTTTACCAAACAATAAAAACAAACCCAATCTACCAAGCTGAATTTCACCTCCATTAAGAGGAGTCGGTCTAGCTCCTCATCCAAGAGGAACCCATGCTTTCCTCAGTGAGTTCTGTTACAGTCCCAAAGTGTGGCAACCGAGCACTGGTGTCCCATGCTGCTAAAAGGAGACTCCTATACTCACGAAGAAATAAAAACATCATAAAAAGAGCATCAACAGCTACTCTTCCATGCAAATGAAACTCAAACAGCTCTGGCACGTTGCAATCCAGCAGCAAGTCAGTGTAGAACTTGCTGCTGCAGGAACTCCAGCAGTGCTGCTGCCCTTGCCTTGCTTCTCCAACAACTTGCTCGGCAGGAGACAGTGAGTGACCACCACATGATGGGATCAAGTCTCAGCAACGTGGGGTGTCATAGGCA